TAACATGATTCATAAATAAAATGAGCTCAGCACAGGAAATTATATGGAACAAAGAAATCAACACAACGAAAAAGCAAATAACAAAAATGACAGCAACAAATTTATATTTGCCGATAATTACATATGTGGCAAGGGGCTTATCTAAGATTTATAGCAGAAGAGTGGATGACCAAACTATGGTACATACACATAATGGAATGCTATGCAGCACTAAAGTATAATGTAGAGTTTCCAAAACACCACGTAATATGGATGAACTTGGAGGACATTATGCTGAGTGAAATAAGTCAATCACAGAAGGACAAATACAGTATAAGTTCATTGTTATGGAGGGTCAAGAAAGGTTTATATATGGAGGAAAACATTCTTTGTTGGTTGCCAGGGGTGGGAGGGGTCGGGGGAAACACTGAAAAAAATAAATGCATTGACCCATGTCAAAAACAAAAAGAGCAAATACCCAACAAAAAAAAACCCTCAGTGGTTAAGAATGTGTGTGAAAACCAGACTGCTTGAGTTCCAATCTAGGCTCTAATACTTTCTTAGCTGTGTTGGGCAAGTAACTTCCGCTCCCTCTGCCTGCATTAGCTTTTATTTAGAATGTAATATTTACAGTACCCATGTCATAGGATGGTTGCGAGTATTAAATTATTAAACACAAAGCCCTTACAACAGTCAGCAACATAGTGAGCATTCTATGAATATTTGCTATGACTATCAACAATATGATTTTTAATCAGATGAAGGTAAAACATTGTATCTTAAGAGGTCAGCATCTTTGAATATTTTTTCATACTATATATAGCTTGTGCTTACTATTTGATGCAAGTTTCATATTTGTGGCTCAGACATAATTGAATTAAAGTATGATTTTTAAATTTGATGATTGTATCTAAATGAGGTGAGTTTGCTGACTTGAGTTTGCACCGTGTCTGAGAATATAGTTTCCTTGAAAAATGACCAACCTGAAATGTCCTTTTCCTTCTCAGATTATTCCGATCTGGGAGAACTCCCCCCACGGTCTCCCTTAGAGCCAGTCCGTGAAGATGGGCCCTTCGGCCCTGTACCAGAAGAAAAGAAAAGAACATCTCGTGAGCTCCGGGAGCTATGGCAGAAGGCTATTCTGCAGCAGATACTGCTCCTCAGAATGGAGAAGGAAAATCAGAAGCTACAAGGTTGGTTTGTCATTTTTGATACTGAACAGGCCTTCTGATCTTAATTCACCTTTGCTGTGAATCAAGTCAGACAGACACATGCAATGTTAAAAAAGGGCAACATACTCTAATACATGCACATGCGTATATGTACATATGTTTCACTTTTTCTGTAAATCTGTTTACTTTTTCAAAAGTAAATGAGCTGTTTGGTAGAGATTTAATGATAATCACACAACTGTGGGTTATTCTCATCTAGTCATTGTTAGCATCGTATGTGGAAGTTCTAAGACATAGGCTTCCCACTGCAACTTTAACTCCTCTGAAAAATGTTCCATCTCGCTCACCTGTCTTGCTGTCTTCCTGCTTTGCCCTCAGCCAGAGTCTACACGTGGCTGTTAGGTGTGAACCCATCCTACCTAAATCATTCACGTTTATACCCCTTCTTTGTGTACATTTTTAGTGAGTTGCAGCTCACCTGGAGAAGGAGGACTGACCTTCAGCATTAGCTGAGCTCCACCTATACTGATATTGAGAATATCAAAACAAGACATGAATTATGATAGCTTA